TTTATGTTCATGACACTATAATATATGAAGTTTGTTCGTATGTTAATAAATAAATCAGAACTGAAGTAGACCAATAGCACATTGAGAAGATGTGTCCCCCTTTTTTATAAATCAACGACAGACATGGTTGTCGTTTGTTGATGTGGTTCATAAATGTTTCTCGTTTCTAGTTTTTTATATAGATTAGACCGTTGCAATGGTTTTACACTAGTCATTTATTGGAGCCCTTACTGTTCGGTGTGAGCCAAGGCTCCGTTTTGAAGACCGTACTTTGACCTATAATGGTTAACTTTTACAAATTATGACCTGGATGGAGAGTTGTCTCATTGGAACTCATACCACATCTTCTTATATCTATAAACAATGGAATATATAGCAGACTTGAAAGCCCGATATATATGTGAACTACAAACAAAGATTCACATGGATATTACGCTTCAAAAGTGCTGTCTATGTTTAATTATAATACACTAACACTAGACATTAATATGCACATCAATTTGAAAAGGTAACGGAATATAAGAAAAAAAGTGGATGTCATTGTATGGCGCCGACAAAACTCATGAGTTTATTCAGATCACCATGTACTGATTGACCATTGCTTCTTGGGTCATTTTGATCCGCGGTGAATTGATTTTCACTGCAACATATGTGTCAATATAAGAACAAGCAAGAATGACAAATTTTGATACATGCATTTTTTTCCCGAACCCTTGTAATTGTCTTCCTTTGCCAATTTCGATTAGAGAAGACGTGTCGCATCCTGTAAGAGAGCGAGCTGCTGTTGGTGTGCCAGACATCAGGGGTCCAATAACTTTTAAAAACTTGCATATGTCGTGAATAGGTAAAAACTGTTTTGTGGCTTTGGTTGAAGAAACGCCTCCGGTCTAAAATCAAAATTCAACATGTTTGACATCTGAGGAAAAGACCTTATTAGAAATAAAACATAACTGTTATGATTTTGATATGATGCAATCCTTGGAATAACTTTTCAATATCTGTTCATTTGCAAAAGAGGCGGCAGAATAATTCTTATATCTGCCTCTTCAGTCACTTACAGATTCTTCACAAAATTGCATCACAGTCTATAGATTTTGAAAAGATCCCGCTAGAAATATTTCGTCATGCTCTTGCAAATCAAAATCATTGTAGTGTGATAGTGCATAGTTACAATGTACCTACAAATCTTATCAACCCATGTATATTTTCAGGTGCACAAAGAAATTTCTTACAATCTCTAATTGATCTGCATTCAATGACTTGAAGAACAGTTTCGATCTACCACCATTTGAAATAATCCTTATCGTCCCTTTGACGCCTTTAATAGCTGACTATGTGGCATGGGATTTGCTCATTGTTGAAGGTTGTGTAGTAACCTATAGTTGTAAATATCTGTGTCATTTGGTCTCTTGTGAAGAGTTGTTCCATTGGCAATCAAACCACATCTTCTTTTTATATACTAGTACACCAATGTCCGATGTAAGGAGAGGGTTGGGCGCCCGCTGACATGTTTAACCTCGCCACATTCTGTATGTGGCGGTCCCAAGTCGGGAGCCTGTTATTCAGTGGTTGTCATTTGTTGCTGTTACATTTTTGTTGTTCGTTTATTATTTTGTACATTAATTAGGCCGTTGTTTTTCTCGTTTGAATTGTTTTACATCTGTCAATTCGGGCCCTTTATTGCTGACTATGCCGTAAGGGTTTTGCTTATTGTTGAAGGTCGTACGGTGACCTATAGTTGTAAATGTATGTGTAATTTTTGGTCTTTTTGGAGATTTGTCTAATTGGCAATCATACCACATATTTTTTTGATTATGGTTTTAAAGCAGCCATTGGCCAAATCTCAATAACTGTTGTACCATTTTACATAAATACTTCGGACAATACCATTAACATCTATCAGATCAGGGGTGTACTGGTTTTTCATAAAGGAATATCACACATTTAGCCAAAGTATGCATTTCCGTTCAGTAGCAAATGAGAGTGAATTGTAATCATTATCCATTTGAAAATAATTGTCATCTTCTAACCAGGCAAAATATTTATCAGAGAGGTTGGAATACATTGTAAAGATAGAAATAATTTGAAATTTCGAACGATCGTAAATAGCTTTTCACAATTTTTTTTCGCAAAATGCAATATCTGTAAACATATGTAACTGGCAAACTATACGACAACGAAAATAATTTTTTCTTTGTTTCGCAAACAGATCATCATGTAGACTTTCTATAAGTATTTGAAAAGCAACATCATGCCCCGATCAATTTGACGCATCAGAAGCAAATTATTTTTAATTTCATCAAATAGTTTTAAATTAATGCATGGTGAATATTGAAGCGGCTTGTCCTTGAAGTTATTTATGGAGAGTAAACTCACCACTGGATGGCCTGCCTGATAATTTGCGACATTTAAAACAATATCGGCACGCTCAAATGACTCGACATGCCTTAATTGCTTAGCTTGTTGTATGACTTTTGTCTCCAGAATAGACATTTTTACCAGTCATGGTAATGCCATGGAGCGCGTTTTAACGAAAGTTGATTCATCGTTACATGCATGGTTTTTTTCACTAATTCAAATGCATGAAAATGTTTTCTTCTTGGACATGTAAAGGCTTAATAACACGATCTAAGCTACTTTACTCGTTCTTATTTAATGGAATAAGCACTGACAATAATTTTCCGGAATTTTTCGGATGTGTTCCAATGTTTAAAATTAGTCTTTTCGAAAAACAAAAATAAAAGCACCTTAAAAGTTATTAAACCTTAGCATCTGAACTTATTCAAGCACGTAGACACATCCATTGATACAAATGTATATACTTATTTATAAAACTTAAGAAAATGCATAATAAATTCATTGCATTTAATATGACAAGGGAAAATAGGAAAGGGGAACGTGACATGACTTATTGAGGTGAAAATTGAGTAGTAATACTGCTATGTGACGAGTTTTATAAAAATGCTTGTAAAAGTTGATTTGTATGTTCTATCAAACTTTTATATATCAAAACTTCTTAAGTATTGGTTGTTCCACTATTTTTTGTAAAAATTTACTATTGGTGATATAAATAAGGAATGTAATATACTTTGACAGACGGTAAGATTGAAAAAAATGTTACATGCATTTGAAAATCGTCCAATTCACTCAATTTATATGTTCATATGATATTAAAGTTTGATGTCAAATAAAAGCTAATACATAATTCTTTCATCTGATATCAATTTTTTTATGATATTTTCATTCGGGAATTTATTATAAGCGTTCCCGTGTTTGAAAATGAAAAAGAAAAAAATCCGAAAATCACACTTTAACGCGATTTTACAAAAAACTGCTTCGTGGGAAAACTCTACGACAGGGCTAAAATGAAAGTATAATGTTTAATCTATCTTCATGTGAATTTTCAGCCGTGAGGTATTTCGGTCCATTAAACTCTTTAAATAAGCGACCTTTCCTGATTTGTCACTCCACTATAGAGTGTCTGATTTATGTTTTTATTGAAAGAGCAAATGACGCTGTCAACACAATCTATTTCAAGTATTTTATTTATATGATTAATATATATATAACAATATGTATATAAATTTCATATTTGAAATAAAATACTTCCCAAAAATGTCTTCATTTTATAGGTACATGTAGCTCCATCCTAAATAACTTCGTTTCCAGTAACATACATATTTTGATGCTTTTTCCATCAATTTGACCTCATCACGTACACACTTATAATACGATGACATCATAATTTCGACAGGTCAACGGAACTCACAGATGTCACATTCAATACATTAACATAAGTGTATTTACGACGAAATTGTACGATAATTAGATCCAAACTGTAATGTGTGTAAGAGTGCTCTAGTCCATATTATTCGTGTGTTTCTTTGTCCTATATGTTTTCCCATTTATTTGTATTGTGGTCCTGTCATGTGATGTTGTCGTTTTGGTGTTGTGTTTGACGTTGCCATAAAAACGGGAGGTTTGGCATGCCACAAAACCAGATTCAACCCACCATTTTTTCTTAAAATGTCCTATACCAAGTCAGGAAAATGGCCATTGTTATATTATAGTTCGTTTCTGTGTGTGTTACATTTTAATGTTGTGTTTTTGTTGTGTCGTTGTTTTCCTCTTATATTTGATGCGTTTCCCTCAGTTTTAGTTTGTAACCCGGATTTGTTTTTATCTCCATCGATTTATGAGTTTTCGAACAGCGGTATACTACTGTTGCCTTTATTTAAATTGTCATGCGAATTCGTTGTTGCCTAATACCTTTAAAGCAATTCGTAATAACATTGCGGTTTTTTCTTTGGAAACCCTGCCTTCTATTGAATCATTTTCTTCTATGACCAGTTGTAGAGCTTGAAGTGAATCCTGACATTATCTCATATTATTCAGATGATAATGACAAAGAAAATTAAGGAAATAAGCATACGCTGTGGATGGAAGATAAAGTAGATCCTTAGATTCGACCCTTTGAAGTTCATCTGGTGTTAACGTAGAAAACTGAAAACAATTAATGTTATCTACATGCATTGTTTTCTGCAGATACATTAATTTATTCCTTTGGAATGATTGCAGTTTTAACAATTGGTAATGAATATCCGACATAGACATTTAGCGGTACAGTTTTTCGGGAGTACATTTCGATATAGAATACCTGATGATGTATAAAGCCTTACTGTATTGTTTTGTCTTATAGAAGAGCGAAGCTAGCATCAGCCATCCAGATACAGCGTCATGATAGACATTCTGTAGCAGGGTACTAAGGCAGAATTTGTATTGTTTGTAACGGTATATATTACTGTTTGTACAGTCCAGTGATATATTCTGAGCTAATCCATTATACAACATTGACATGTAGTATTTATATACGTATTGTATTGAAGATTGCTGACGCAAAAGTTTCTGTATTATGTTGTCCTTGGATAAATTCGATTTTCTTTTTGCATACATAAAACTTGATGCAAAATGTGTCAAGGCAAATAAATTGAAACTAAGTATTTTCTCAACGTCATTAATATATAATGAATGTGGTTCAATTGGGAAATTCCATATTGGTACATCTAAGTTAGATATTTGATCTGAAAATAAGATGGATCGCCAACCATACCTATACAATGAATAAAGTTTTTTTAACAATATTTCACGAACAGGACCCTCTATTTTGTTCTCGAACATGTTATTATCTGGAATGAAGTAATGTAAACAAACTGAGTGTTCAACACAATAAACTAGCCTGCTAAAACATCGCATCAAACAAGGTATAAGATTATGAGGTTTCCATATAGAGTGTGGCAGTTCTTCAGATATCCAGAATATAATTGTTTTCAAGAAATAAGAACAGAGTTAATCTTTACATTTGGAGTAATTAGCTATTATATCTTTCAAAAGAATTTTTAAAAGAGCATAGCATAGTAATTGGGTGTGCGTAAAAGTATTAATTAGAAGTTTTTCACCAACAGAAAAATATATTCGCCATTCTATATCCTCTTTTGGTGATCCCTTAACTCCGATAGGTACAAAACGTTTTTCGTGTTGTATAATACTTTGTTTGGCATCATCACTCGGCCATGAGTTACTTAATCTTGTTATCCACTGTACTGCTGGAGACACCCATGTTTTACAATGTAAGCAAACCACAAGGTCAAAAGTTCCATCTTTGCCAGATATACAAGGTCCATGTGTTATACAACCAACAGTCAAAGTTATTGGATTACACAATCCACTCGAAAAATAGTGTTAACCATTATGTTCTGCACATAGTTCTGAAGCATGTTGATTCATGTTATATTCTAGTCTCAACTGTGTCAACTCAGGTTTGACATCGTCTGTTTCCATTCACTAATATGCTATATCCGGTTGAAAGCTGGGTTGTACATTTTCATACACTTCGAAATATTTACACACAAACATTGTATCTTAATCACTGCCCCGCATTTCGAGTCCTTCCCCGAAGCTTCCACTAGTTATAATTGTCAAGTCCTTGCTACTTGCTATATCGTCCCTGACAGCATTCATCATTCTGATTCTTTTAACATGATCTTCTGATCCTACAATGTGTTGACACATATAACGATACAATGCTATTGATATGTCTGGTGTTATAGCTTCTGTAAGATAAAATGAAAACTCTGAATAAAATATTGTCTTAAAATTATTTATTTACTATAATGTGCGATACCATTTTGTGAGAGAATTCGTTGTTTGCGGTACCACGGTTTCATTTCAACGCACTATATGGCAAAACCACTTTACCAATCAGAATGATTTTTTGCAGTGTTTCAAGAAATGATTTAAATTTGTATCCATGTATTATTTGTGAAACATTAAATGTTTTAAAAGGGCGAACTTTCTGTATAAAGTCAATAACTATGTAGACTTTTGAAGCCAAAAATATACATTGCCTTAAATACGCAAATGAAAGATCCGAAAGCTATACCGATACAGAACGACATGTTTTTGAAATTATAGCAAACTTTTGGTTGACAAATTGTTATTCGTTAATGCAAAAAATGAACTTAGAATATCTGTAATTTTCTACCTACCCAGATTACCTCTATTACTTATTGTGATGTGTACCGGTCAATGTTATTGAATCTTACACAATTTGATTGGATTAAGTTATTATCAGTTTACCTTCAAACTGTTTATTCTTTTCTTACATGTATATAGATTTAATAAGAACATGCACGAATGTGTATAGTAACTTAAATAACCTTCAAACTGGACAGTGGATGAGTCCATATTATTTTTTATCAATGAAACTAATGGTATGAAAGGTAAGAATTGCCACTTCTTATGTTTTTACAACATTTTACACATGCACAGTAGATAAATTATTTTGAATAACCTATTCCGGGGAAAAAGGAGAAAATTTACAAATCCGATGTTTCATTTCAAGCAAGTCATTTTTCGTTTAAAATTATTGTTTATCTTTACATAAAAAAACATTTTTAGTCTCATAATAATGTTATTATTACAATTAGTACCGAAAGAAATTAGTCAGTACATAAAGTTGAAATATGTCCTATCTGCCTATTTTTTTTACATTAAAATTCAACACAATCGTTTTAAGGTCAAACTCGTCTACCTCACAAAATCTTGTTAGGCACTATAAATTCACATATTAAATCTTAAAATATATAAATTGTAAAGCAATTCAATGGTACTGTTTACCAATATGATCCTTATTTGATATATTCTATGTTCGTGCCCTTCAAAAACAAATTTGCCAATAACATGAAACATTAAACCACATCCCATTCACAAACAATGTTTTGCATTCACCTTCTCTGTTCGTTCGTTTGTTTGTATGTCCGTCGATCTGTCTACCATATTATACATTTCTTGATAATTGATTGTAATTGTTGCATGAATGAAATAATAGCTTATATATATATATGTACAAATATTAATAATTTTTAATTAATTCTGTAATACCAACTGTGTGTACTTTTGAAGGAAGAAAAATCAAATTTTCAATTTCTGTTTACTACGATGAAATCCGTAGTTACACAACATGTATGCCTTGCCCCAATATATGATTTTCGAAAACTCGCTTAGAATATAGTTATACAAAAGGTTGAGGCTGTTCCGAATGGCTTATATCGGTTCATATATATTTTCGTGCAGTCCAGTGTTTGTAATTTTTAACGGCGTAGTATAAGACTCAAAAGTAGGAGGAGGGTGAAATGCAAACACGAAACAAGAAAGAAAAAGTATGTTTTATGTGTTCTGACGGTCTAGAAGGTTTTATTTTTTTTTTGTTCAATAATTTGTTTTTGCTTAAAAATTGGAATCTCTTGCCACCCTCCCAGGTTCTACGCCCTTGACTTCAAGCAGGCACTGTTTTTCAATTTCTAAAACTAGACATACCCAAAAGTGTATCCGATAGACTCAGAATTTTCAATATTGCAAATGCTAACTGATACTATGCGTCTAAATCTCTTGTATTACGTTGCTGGCCTGCTGACTTTTACTGAATATCTCGTTATTCATATCTTTCAAATTATGTTTTTTTATATCAACCCATTAAGAAAAGAGAAAATGTCCAAAACTTCAGGTATATTAAAATCAATGCCCATGCATACGCACAATATCAACGAAAAAATGAAGAAGTTTTGTAACATGATATTTTAGTTGTAAGGAAAATGAACTCGTTTAAAGGTTGTGGTTCACAAGTCCCAATGCATTTAAATTGATGCGAAATCAAGTAAAATTCGTATGATATAAGGTTTGACTCCTTTCTGCTATCTGTATTAACATGTTGCCACTTCCCTTTTTTAAAAGTATCTGGATCCTCTATTGATAAAGCTTAGCGAACCAAACTATACTTCTTTGATTAACCTCTTCCTTAAAAACAATTCATTTATTCTATTAAAACAATTGCTATTATAAACATTGTATAAATACATTAATTTAATATATTCTTATTGAAAGACAATGTTCAAAATAAGAAAAGTCTACACTGTGAGTTTTGTAAGGAAAAAGTTCAACCAACGCATACGTTTTACACAAGCAAGTGTCATATGATTATATAATTACGGTCTCCTAGAGATCTCCTGTCTCGTAGTACTGGAAGATTTCTGTTTGATTGAATTATAGAAAATAACTTCTGCTCTGAATGCGAACGATCATTGAATACATTATCTAGCATTCAGAGAGTGATCAACGCATTTAACTTTTTTTCAGTTGTCCCTTTCGATCCTCTGTTCACCCAGGATAAACCCAAGTGATTAACTGTTAAATATGTTATCGTCTAAAAGGTGACCAATATATTTGACACGCGAGGCAGGAAAGCAACCACAAGTTTATTCTGCATGTGGTTATCTACATGGAAAAGAAAATCTATATTATTTATTCGCCATCCATCAGATATTTGGGTCATTCGAGTTAACACTAATTAGTATTTTATTTATTATGTGCAGGGGAAATTTCGTACAAACTTTCCCACATTCTTTTTAATATTACATATTTATTATTAAGTTATGAAGATATTTAAAAACTTAAAATGACTTCATTGTTTCTGTGTATTAGAAACTGGCCAAAATCATATATACCATGTTTACGCACTCGGTGTTTTTTTGTTTTTTTGTTTTAAAAATCTGTGTATGAAGTAATATTGTTTGTCATTTTAAAAATTAATGAAAAAAGATAAGATTTCATTCAGTCGCTTTAAGGTGGCTCACCCCAATAAGGACCCCCGGTAGAATTTTTTTATTTTCACATATTTTGTAGATCTTTTTATGCTGAATCCAACAATGAAAAGAAAAAAGGCGGTCACCAGGCTCGTTTTTCCCTCAAATGGAAGCGAAATGTACGATTTTGACCCTATTCCCAAACATTTCCACCCTTTCAACAATAACTGCTACATCAAATTCGAAGACTTTAACAACCAAGTAAATATGATTATTATGTGAAAAAAACATTAAAATTTGAAATGTAAACGTTTCCCTTAAAAATCCTTTTATTTTCAGATTAATGTCTCAATTTTGCATTTTCTAATTTCAGTTCAAGGCTAAAAATATTGGTTATATCTATTTTTTGTAAAATTCCCCGGTGAATTTAAAAAAAAATGGATACGTCAAAGTTTTGAGGTAAAATAAAATTGGGGTCAGCATGGGGGTCAGCATGCTTTTAAAAAAGTTATGGACATTTGTTTAACCTCTCTACCCCATGAAGTCTGATTTCAATGCACTCCATTAATTATTTTGTTGTGAATTCTTTATTGATCGCTTTAACTAAATAATGTTTGCAATTATATCAATGAACGATATATGAATATCAATGTGTTTATCATATAATTGTATGATTTATAAAGCAAAATTTTGATTATTTTGATGACATACGGTAATTTAGTCTGGCGCGAGTTGTTCCCCTCTAATTTGGCGCCTTAATCGGACAACAGAAATTTCAGGGTCGCCATTGGTATGCAGCATACACTACTGATGAATACAACCATGTACATGAATAACAGACATAGTGGCGAAAAGACAACGATGAAGGTAGAGTCATTACATAAGAAAACATAGATTTAATATTTTAGGCAGCCAAATGTTATCACTATCACGAAAAATAAAAATTTAGGGGAGATGGGGGGGTCTCAAAATACTCGCTTCTGTAGAAAATCTTTGCGGCTGAAACCTTGCATGGGCTTCTGTTCTATGTATAATCGTTATGGCTGGTATCTTATTTATGTGTTTATTTGACCCTTAACGGGTATGTTGTGAACATGTATAACCTGTCGGGAAAATATCCGTGTCAAAGAGAAGGGGATGGACAGGGTAGGAATATTTTATGCCTTTTACCATTAGCCGTCACAAATGTCGTTTTTGCGCTACTGTTAGCGTCAAATGAGCCTTAATTTGTAATCGTCATTCGTAAAATCTAATTTTGTAGCTACGTTAGCGTGAAAGGAAGTTAACGTCTAATGTGGGGTACCCCAATACTACCCTCGGGCAGGGGTCCCTGATTCCCACTCCCTATCCCCAACTCCCATTTACCTTTTCCTTTACTCTAAAATTTTCTCTCCCTACTTTGACTTCAATCCAAATTATTCCCAGACAAAAGATTTGCCAAATATATTTCCCAGAATATTCATCCCTCTTTTCGAATCCTTGTCCTTTCACCCAAAATCATGTTCGCTCCCATTCACGTTCGCACCCCACACGTTCGCACCCTAGGTCTGTTTGCAACCTTCAGTTTTTTAATCATGTTTTAGTTAGTGTAGTACTATAAAATAAAGATATTAAGTTTATTTTATTGTTTAAACATTTATCTGGTCTTTTCTATTTACAATCTTCATTAGTTGTACTCCTACCTAACTAGTTACTTTTATTTTCACTTTACATCAAAGCTAGTACACCTTATAAGCTTTGTAAATTATCAATTAATAGTAATCATAAATAATTTACATTTTAATAATTATGTAATCACCCAAAAACATATGTCATTTAAAAGATCACGAACTTTTATTCATGAAAATATAGGTCTATTTATATCTGAAAATGCATATAATAATTCAACATATTTATGGATTTGAATAAAAAAGAAAGGGTGCGTACTAACCTAGGGGTGAACGTGTAAGGTGCGAATGTGTTTTGGGAGCTAA